CAGAGAGGCCAGCAGTGGTGTCCATGTTTGAGCTGGGCTCCTCAGGAGTGCTGATGTGGGTCAGTTCTGTGGTCCAAGAAGAAGGTGTCTGGGTGGCCATCTCTCTCATCTGAGAGGATGTTGGTATTTGTGTGGAAACTGTGATGACCCTAGTGGTGGAGGGCATTCTCTCTTCAGTTGTGGTCACAGGAAGTTCTGAGGAGAGTGAGGTGGTAAAATAGGTTTGAGGTACAGAACTGGACTCTTCCACAGTATGGACTGCTGTGTGTGAAGATGTTGGACTTGTGTGGAGACCGGAGGAGACCCAGGAGGTGGCTGAAATGTACTGTCCATTCCTAGTGTGACTTGGAGACAAGGAGCTTACAGGTGTTAATCCTGTGTCCAGCCCCTGGGTGGTGTCGTGGAGAGTGGAGGTGAGGAGTGGGCTGATGGATGCAGGGGAGGAAGGAGCAGGAGAAGTTGAGGCTGTGGGGCCAGAAGTTGTGAGAGCTACTGTGGAGCTCACATGTGGCACAGGTGTAGTTTGTGTGGAGGACAGGACTTCAGGGGATGAGCTTGATTGCATAGTGCTGTGTGAGTGGGGCAGGGTCTGGGATGCACTGGGGAGGATGGTGGTGGCTGGGGCCATGGCTGTCGTGTCCCTGGCATCTGTGGTATGGATTGCAGTTGCCGGAAACTGTGTGTGGACAGTGGTGGTGGTGATTTCTGCAGAAGTGGTCATGTAAGGGACAGAGGACATGCTGGTGATCTCCATTCCCGTGGTTCTGTGAGCTGAGACTGTGGATGGAGTGAGGCTAGGAGGGAGCTTTGGAGCAGAGGAGAAGTAGCCTGTACTGGATTGCTCAGGGTAGGAGCTGGTGGTGGCATTAGAGAGAGCAGCAGTGGTGTCCAGGGCTGAGCGGGGCTCCTCAGGAGTGCTGGTGTGGGTCAGTTCTGTGGTCCAGGAGGAAGCTGTCTGGGTGGCCATCTCTCTTGTCTGAGAGGATGTTGGTATTTGTGTAGAAACTGTGCTGACCCCAGTGGTGGAGAGCATTCTCTCTTTAGCTGAGGTCACAGGAAGTTCTGAGGAGGCCGAAGTGGTAAAGTAGGTTATGGGGAGAGAACTGGAATGTTCCACAGTGGACACTGCTGTGTCTGAAGATGCTGGACGTGTGTGGAGGCCTGAGGAGACCCAGGAGGTGGCTGAGATTTGCTGTTCACTTGTAGTGTGAGTTGGATTCAAGGTGCTCACTGGTGTTGACCCTGTCTCCATATCCTTCCTGTTGTCATAGAGAGTGGAGGTGAGGAGTGGATTCATGGATTCAGGGGAAGAAGGAGCAGGAGAAGTTGAGGCTGTGGGGCTGGCAGGTGTCAGGAGCTCTGTGGAGGTCAGATGTGGCCCAGCTGGAGTTTGTGTGGAGGACAGGACTTCAGGGGATGAGCTTGATTGCAGGGTGCTGTGTGAGTGGGGCAGGGTCTGGGATGCAGTGGGGAGGATGCTGGTGGCTGGGGCCAGGGCTGAGGAATCCCAGGTACCTGTGCTGTGGGATGCAGATGCAGGAATCCGAGTGTGGACAGTGGTGGTGATTTCTGCAGAAGCTGTCTTGTATGGAGAGGAGGATATGCTGGTGATCTCCAATCCAGTGGTTCTGTGAGTTGTGACTGTAGATAGAGTGAGGCTGGGAGGGAGCATTGGAGCAGAGGAGAAGTCTGCACTGGAGAGCTCAAGGGAGGAGCTGGTGGTGGCATCAGAGAGGCCACCAGTGGTGACCAGGGCTGAGCTGGGTTCCTCAGGAGTGCTGATATGGGTCAGTGTTGCGGTCCCAGAAGAAGCTGTCTGGGTGGCCATCTCTCTTGTCTGAGAGGATGTTGGTATTTGTGTGGAAACTGTGATGACCCCAGGGGTTGAGGGCATTCTCTCCTCAGTTGTGGTCACAGGAAGTTCTGAGGAGGCCAAGGGAGTAAAGTGGATTTTGGGGACAGAACTGGAGTCTTCTAGGGTGGACACTGTTGTGTCTGAAGATGCTGGACTTTTGTGGAGGCCTGAGGAGATCCAGGAAGCAGATGAAATGTTCTGTCCATTTGTCATCTGCCTTTTAGTCAAGGTGCTCACAGGTGTTGGTCCTGTGTGCATCCCCTGTGTGGTGTCATGGAGAGTGGAGGTGAGGAGTGGGGTGATGGTCCCAGGGGAGGAAGGAGCAGGAGAAGGTGAGTCTGTGGGGCCAACAAGTGTGGAGCTCAGATGTGACACAGCTGGAGTTGGTGTGGAGGACAGGACTTCAGGGGATGAGCTTGATTGCAGGGTGCTGTGTGAGTGGGGCAGGGTCTGGGATGCAGTGGGGAGGATGCTGGTGGCTGAGGCCATGGCTGCCGTGTCCCAGGCATGCGTGCTGTGAGATGCAGATGCAGGAAACTGTGTGGAGATAGTGGTGGTGGTTTCTGCCAATGCTGGCATGTAGGAGGAGGAAGATATCACACTCTTTACCCATTCAGTGGTTCTGTGAGCCATGACTGTGGATGGAGGGATGCTGGGAGGGAGTGTTGGAGCAGAGAAGAATCCTGTACTGGATTGCGCAGGGGAGGAGCTGGTGGTGGCATCAGAGAGGCCAGCAATGGTGTCCATGTTTGAGCTGGGCTCCTCAGGAGTGCTGGTTTGGGTCAGTGCTGTGGTCCAGGAGGAAGCTGTCTGGGTGGCCATCTCTCTTGTCTTAGTGGATGTTGGTATTTGTGTGGAAACTGTGATGACTCCAGGGGTGGAGGGTGTTCTCTCCTCAGTTGTGGTCACAGGAAGTTCTGAGGAGGCCGAGGGAGTAAAGTGGATTTTGGGGACAGAACTGGAGTGTTCTAGGGTGGACACTGTTGAGTCTGAAGATGCTGGACTTTTGTGGAGGCCTGAGGAGATCCAGGAAGCAGATGAAATGTTCTGTCCATTTGTCATCTGCCTTTTAGTCAAGGTGCTCACAGGTGTTGGTCCTGTGTGCATCCCCTGTGTGGTGTCATGGAGAGTGGAGGTGAGGAGTGGGGTGATGGTCTCAGGGGAGGAAGGAGCAGGAGAAGGTGAGTCTGTGGGGCCAACAGGTATGGAGCTCAGATATGACACAGCTGGAGTTTGCGTGGAGGACAGGACTTCAGGGGATGAGGTTGATTGCAGGGTGTTGTGTGAGTGGGGCAGGGTGTGGGATGCAGTGGGGAGGAGGCTGGTGGCTGAGGACGTGGCTGAGGTGTCCCAGGTATGCGTGCTGTGAGATGCAGATGCAGGAAGCTGTGTGGAGATAGTGGTGGTGATTTCTGCCAATGCTGGCATGTAGGAGGAGGAAGAGATCACACTCTTTTCCCATTCAGTGGTTCTGTGAGTCATGACTGTGGATGGAGGGATGCTGGGAGGGAGCTTTGGAGCAGAGGAGAGGACACTGTACTGGATTGCTCAGGGGAGGAGCTGGTGGTGGCATCAGAGAGGCCAGCAGTGGTGTCCATGTTTGAGCTGGGCTCCTCAGGAGTGCTGGTGTGGGTCAGTGCTGTGGTCCAGGAGGAAGCTGTCTGGGTGGCCATCTCTCTTGTCTGAGAGGATGTTGGCATTTGTGTGGAAACTGTGCTGACCCCAGTGGTGGAGAGCATTCTCTCCTCAGCTGTGATCTCCGGAGGTTCTGAGGTAGCAGAGAGAGTAAACTGAATTTGGGGAATAGAACTGGAATGTTCCACAGTGGACTCTGCTGTGTCTGAAGATGTTGGATTTGAGTGGAGGCCTAAGGAGGCCCAGGTGTTGGTTGAAACATCCTGTCCACCTGTAGTTTGAGTTGAAGTCAAGGTGCTTACATATGTTGATCCTGCGTCCATCCACTGCATGGTCTTCTGGAGAGCAGAGGTGAGGAGTGAGGTGATGGATACAGGGGAGGAAGGAGCAGGAGAAGCTGAGGCTGTGGAGCTTCCAGGTGTCAGGACCCCTGTGGAGCTCAGATGTGGCCCAGCTGGAGTTGGTGTGGAGGTCAAGACATCAGGGAATGAGCTTGATTGCAGGGTGCTGTGTGAGTGTGGCAGGGTCTGGGCTGCTGTGGGGAGGTTTTTGGTGGCTGAGGCTGTGGTTGATGAGTCCCAAGCTCGTGTGCTGTTAGATGCAGATGCAAGAAGCTGTATGGGCATAGTGGTGGTGATTTCTGGAAATGCTGGCATGTAGGAGGAGGAAGAGACCACGCTCTTTTCCATTTCAGTGGTTCTGTGAGTCATGACTGTGGATGGAGTGAGGCTGGGAGGGAGCTTTGGAGCAGAGAAGAAGCCTGTACTGGAGAGCTCAGGGAAGGAGCTGGTGGTGGCATCAGAGAGGCCAGCAGTGATGTCCATGCTTGAGCTGGGCTCCTCAGGAGTGCTGGTATGAGTCAGTGCTGTGGTCCAGGAGGACTCTGTCTGGGTGGCCATCTCTCTTGTCTGAGAGAAGCTTGGTATTTGTGTGGAAGCTGTGATGACCCCAGGGCTGGAGGGCGGTCTCTCCTTGGCTGTGGTCAAAGGAACTTCTGAAGAGACCAAGAGAGTAAAGTGGGTTTGGGGTACAGAAGTGGAGTCTTCCACAGTGGTGACTGCTGTGTCTGAAGCTGCTGGACTTGTGTGGATCCCTGAGGTGGCTGGGGTGTCTTGTCCTCTTGCAGTCTGACTTGGTGTCAAGGTGCTCACAGGTGTTGATCCTGTGTCCATCAGCTGTGTTTTCTCTTGGAGAGTGGAGGTGAGGAGTGGAGTGATGGGTGCAGGGGAAGAAGGAGAAGGAGAATGGGAGGCTGTGGTGCCAGTAGGTATGAAGGCCCCTGTGGAGCTCAGATATGGCACAGGTCTAGATTGTGTGGAGGGTAGGACTTGAGGGGATGAGGTTGATTGCAGGGTGGTGTGTGAGTGCGGCCGGGTCTGGGATGCAGTGGGGAGGATGCTGGTGGTTGGGGCTGTGGCTGGTGTGTCCTGGGCTTGGGTGCCGTGGGCTGCAGAAGCAAGAGTTTGCTTTTGGTGAATGGTGGTGATTTCTGCAGAAGTTTTCTTGTAGGAAGAGGAAGGCACAGTGGTGATCTCCATTCCAGTGGGTAGGTGAGCCGAGATTGTGGATGGAGTGTGGCTGGGAGGGAGAGCTGGAGCAGAGGAGACAAAGCTTGCACTGGAGAACTCAAGGAAGGAGCTGGTGGTGGCACCAGTGAGGCCAGCACTGGTGGCCAGGGCTGAGCTGGGCTGTGTGGGAGTGCTGCTGCGGGTCAGTTCTAGGGTCGATGAGGAAGTTGTCTCGGTGAACATCTCTCTTGTCTGAAAGGATGTTGGTATTTGTGTGGAAACTCTGGTGATCTCAGTGGTGGAGGGCATTCTCTCCTCTGCTGTCGTCTCAGGAAGTTCTGAGGAGGCTGAGGTGGTAAAGTAGGTTTTGAGGACAGAACTGGAATCTGTGGATGTCTGAGGTGAGGCTGTGGATGGAGCGAGGCTGGGAGGAAGCCTTGGAGTAGAGGAGAAGAAGCCTGCACTAGAGAGCTCAGGGGAGGATCTGGTGGTGTCCTTAGAGAGGTCAGCAGTGGTGTCCAGGGCTGAGCTGGGCTCCTCTAGTGCACTGGTATAGGTTGGTGTCTGGGTCCGGGAGGAAGCTGTCTGTGTGTCCATCTCTGTTGTCTTTGCAGAACTCCGTGCAGGTGTGGAATCTGTGGTGTCCCCAGTGTTGGAGTGGGTCCTCATCCCAGCTGTGGTCTCAGCAAATTCTGAGGTAGCAGAGATAGTAAAGTGAGTTTGCAGGGTAGAACTGGAATGTTCCACAGTGGACACTGCTGTGTCTGAAGGTGTTGGACTTGTGTGGAGGCCGGAGGAGACCTGAGAGGTGGCTGAGATGTGCTGTCCACTTGTAGTCTGACTTGGAGTCAAGGTGCTCGCAGGTGTTGATCTTGTGTCCATCAGCTGTGTAATTTCCTGGAGAGTGGAGGTGAGGAGTGAGGTGATGGATGCTGAGGAGGAAGGAGCAGGAGAAGGTGAGGCTGTGGAACTGGCAGGTGTCAGTGGCCCTGAGCCGCTCAGATGTGGATCAGCAGGAGTTTCTGTGGAGGATAGGACATCAGGGGATGAGCCTGATTGCAGGGTGCTGTGTGAGTGGGGCCAGGTCTGGGATGCACTGGGGAAGGGGCTGGTGGCTGAGGCCGTGGCTGAGGTGTCCCAGGCATGCGTGCTGTGAGATGCAGATGCAGGAAGCTCTGTGGGGATAGTGGTAGTGATTTCTGCAAATGTGGGCATGTAGGAGGAGGAAGAGATCATGCTCTTTTCCCATTCAGTGGTTCTGTGAGCCGAGACTGTGGATGGAGTGAGGCTGGGAGGGAGCATTGGAGGAGAGGAGACGGAGCCTTCACTGGATTGCTCGGGGGAGGAGTTGGTGGTGGTATCAGAGAGGCCAGCAATGGTGTCCATGTGTGAGCTGGGCTCCTCAGGAGTGCTGCTGTGGGTCAGTGCTGTGGTCCAGGAGGAAGCTGTCTGGGTAGCCATTTCTCTTGTCTGAGAGGATGTTGGTGTTTGTGTGGAAACTGTGCTGACCCTAGTGGTGGAGAGCATTCTCTCCTCAGCTGTGGTCTCAGGAAATTTGGAGGTAGCAGAGAGAGTAAAGTGAGTTTGGGGCATAGAACTGGTATCTTCCACAGTGGACACTGCTGTGTCTGAAGATGTTGGACTTGTGTGGAGGCCTGAGGAGACCCAGGAGGTAGCTGAGATATCCTGTCCACTTGTCTGACTTGGAGTCAAATTACTCACAGGTGTTGATCCTGTGTCCATCTGCTCGGTGGTGTCATGGAGAGTGGAGGTGAGGAGTGGGGTGATGGATGGAGCAGAGGAAGGAGCAGAAAGTGAGGCTGTGGGTTTGCTAGGTGTCAGGACCCCTGTGGAGCTCAGATGTGGCCCATCTGGAGTTGGTGTGGAGGACCGGACTTCAGGTGTTGAGCTTGATTGCAGGGTGGTGTATGAGTGGGGCAGGGTCTGGGATGCAGTGGGGAGGGTGCTGGTGGCTGGGGCCGTAGCTAACATGTCCCAGGGACTCGAGCTGTGGGATGCAGCTGCAGAATTCTGTGTGTGGACAGTGTTGGTGATTTCTGCAGAAGCTGTCTTGTAAGGAGAGGAGGGCACGCTGGTGATCTTCACGCTGGTGGTTCTCTGAGCTGAGTCTGTGTATGGGGCGAGGCTGGCAGAGAGTGTTGGAACAGAGAAGTCTGCCCTGAAATGCTCAGAGGAGGAGCTGGTAGCGGCATCAGAGTGGCCGGCAGTGGTGTCTAGGGCTGAGCTGGGCTGTGCAGGAGTGATGCTGTGGATCAGTTCTAGTGTGGATGAGGAGGTTGTCTTGGATATCTCCGTTGTCTGAGAGGATGTTGGTATTTGTGTGGAAACTCTGGTGACCTCAGAGGTGGAGGGTGTTCTCTCCTCTGCTGGGGTCTCAGGAATTCCTGAAGAGGTAGACATAGTAAGCATAGTTTGGGGGACAGAACTGAAGTCCGTGGGTGTCTGAGGTAAGGCTATGGATGGTGCAAGGCTGAGAGGGAGCAATGGAGTAGAAGAGAAGAAGCCTGAACTGGGGAGCTCAGGGGAGAAACTTGTGGTGGTATCAGAAAGGCCCGCAGTGGTGTCCAGGGCTGAGCTGGGCTGTGCTGGCGTGCTGCTGTGGGACAGTGTCTGGGTCTGGGAGAAATCTGTCTGCGTGTCCATCTCTGTTGTCTTTGCAGAACTCTGTCCAGGTGTGGTACCTCTGGTGTCCCCAGTGGTGGAAGAAGTCCTCATCTCAGGTGTGGTTTCAGGAGATTCTGAAGTAGCAGAGATAGTAAAGTGAGTTTGGGGGATAGAAGTGGAATGTTCCACAGTGGACACTGCTGTGTCTGAAGATGTTGGACTTGTGTGGAGGCCTGAGGAGACCCAGGAGGTAGCTGAGATATCCTGTCCACTTGTAGTCTGAGTTGAAGTCAAATTACTCACAGGTGTTGATCCTGTGTCCATCTGCTCGGTGGTGTCGTGGAGAGTGGAGGTGAGGAGTGGGGTGATGGATGGAGCAGAGGAATGAGCAGAAAGTGAGGCTGTGGGTTTGCTAGATGTCAGGACCCCTATGGAGCTCAGCTGTGGCCCAGCTGGAGTTTGTGTGGAGGACAGGACTTCAGGGGATGAGCTTGATTGCAGGGTGCGGTGTGAATGGGGAGGAGTCTGGGATGCAGTGGGGAGGGTGCTGGGGGCTGGGGCCATGGATGACGAGTCCTGGGTTTGGTTGCTGTGGGATGCAGACACAAGACCTTGATTTTGGACAGTGCTGGTAATTTCTGTAGGTGCTGTCGTGTATGAAGAGAGGCTGATCAGGCTGTTTTCCCTTCCAGTAGGTGTGTGATCAGAGACGGTGGATGGCGCGAAAGTGGGAGAGAGCCTTGGAGCAGAGGAGAAGCCTTCAGTGGAGAGCTCAGGAGAGGAGCTGGTAGTGGCATCATAGATGCCAGCAGTGGTGTCCATGACTGAGCTGGGCTCCTCAGAAGTGCTGGTGTGGGTCAGTGCGGTGGTCCAGGAGGAAGCTGTCTGGGTGACCATCTCTCTTGTCTGAGAGGATGTTGGTATTTGTGTGGAATCTCTGGTGATCTCAGCGGGGGAGGGCGTTCTGTCCTCTGCTGGGGTCTCAGGAAGTTCTGAGGTGCCAGACATAGTAAGCTTGGAACGGGAGGCAGAACTGGAATCTGTGGATGTCTGAGGTGAGGCTGTGGATGGAGCGAGGCTAGGAGGAAGCCTTGGAGTAGAGGAGAAGAAGCCTGCACTGGAGAGCTTAGGGGAGGAGCTGGTGGTGTCCTCAGAGATGCCCGCAGTGGTGTCCAGGGCTGAGCTGAGCTCCTCTGTTGTGCTGGTATAGGTCAGTGCCTGGGTCCGGGAGGAAGCTGTCTGTGTGTCCATCTCCGTTGTCTTTGCAGAACTGTGTGCAGGTGTGGAACCTCTGGTGTCTCCAGTGGTGGAGGGGGTACTCATCTCAGCTGTGGTCTCAGCAAATTCTGAGGGAGCAGAGATAGTAAACTGAGTTTGGGGAATAGAACTGGAATCTTGCACAGTGGACACTGCTGTGTCTGAAGATATTGGACTTGTGTGGAGGCTTGGGGAGACCCAGGAGCTGGCTGAGATGTCCTGTCCACTTGTAGTCTGACTTGGAGTCAAGATACTCAAAGGTGTTGATCCTGTGTCCATACCCTGCGTGGTATCCTGGAGAGTGGAGGTGAGGAGTGGGGTGGTGGTCACAGGGGAGGAAGAAGCAGAAGGTGAGGCTGTGGGGCCGGCAGGTGTCATGGCCCCTGAGGAGCTAAGATGTGGCACAGCTGGAGTTTGTGTTGAGGAAAGGACTTCAAGGGGTGAGCTTGACTTCAAGGTGATGATTGAGTGGGGAGGAGTCTGGGATGCAATGGGGAAGGTGCTGGTTTCTGAGACTGGGGCAGAAGTGTCCCAATCCTGGGTGCCATGGGATGCAGATGCAGGAACTGGTGTGTGGACAGTGGTGGTGATTTCTGTAGGTTCGGTGCTGTGTGAAGAGGAAGTGATCAGGCTATTTTCCATTCCAGTGGATGTGTGAGCAGAGTCTGTGAATGGTGCAACACTGGGAGGGAGCTTTGCAGTGGAGGGGAAGAAGCCTGTAGTGGAGAGCTCAGGGGAGGAGCTTGTGGTGGCCTTCGAGAGGCCAGCAGTGTTGGCCAGGGCTGAGCTGCTGTGCCCATGCGTGCTGCTATAAGTTAGCACTGTGGTCCTGGAGGAAGCTGTCTGGGTGAACAGCTCTGTGGTCTGAGTTGATGCTGGCACTTTTGTGGTAATTGTGGTGTCCCCTGTGCTGAAGGGTGTCTTCACCTCATCTGTGGTCTCAGAAATGTGTGAGGAGTTTACATTAGATGATAAGGTTTGGGGAACAGAAAAGAAGTCTCTCCCATTCGATGTTGCTGTGTCTGAAGGTGATGGACTTGTGTGGAGGCCTGAGGAGACCCAGGAGGTAGCTGAGGTATCCTGTCCACCTGTAGTCTGACTTGGATTCAAGGTGCTCACAGGTGTTGATCCTGGGTCCATCTCCTGCATGGTGTCATCGAGAGTGGAGGTGAGGAGTGGGGTGATGATCGCAGGGGAGGAAGAAGAAGGAGAAGGTGAGGCTGTGGGGCTGGCAGGTGTCAGGGCCCCTGTGGAGCTCAGATGTGGTCCAGCTGGAGTTTGTGTGGAGGACAGGACTTCAGTGGATGAGCTCGATTGGAGGGTGGTGTGTAAGTGGGGAAGGGTCTGGGGTGCAGTGGGGAGGGTGCTGGTGGTTGAGGCCGTGGATGATGTGTCCTGGGGTTGGATGCTGTGGGATGCAGATCCAAGTGTTTGATCTTGGACAGTGGTGGTGATTTCTGTAAGTGCTGTCCTGTGTGAAGAGGAGGTGATCAGACTGTTTTCCCTTCCATTGGATGTGTGAGCAGAGACTCTGGATGGCCCGAGACTGGGAGGGAATGTTAGAGAAGAGGAGAAAAAGCCTGCACTGGAGGGCTCAGGGGAGGATCTGGTGGTGGCATCAGAGAGGCCTGCAGTGGTGTCCAGGGCTGAGCTGGGCTGCTCTGTTGTGCTGGTGTGGGTCAGTGTCTGGGTCTGGGAGGAAGCTGTCTGTGTGTCCATCTCTGTTGTCTTTGTAGAACTGTGTGCAGGTGTGGAACCTCTGGTGTCCCCAGTGTTGGAGGGGGTGCTCATCTCAGCTGTGGTCTCAGGAAGTTCTGAGGAGGCCGAGATAATAAAGTGAGTTTGGGGAATAGAACTGGAATCTTGCACAGTGGAAACTGCTGTATCTGAAGATGTTGGACTTGTGTGGAGGCCTGAGGAGACCCAGGAGGTGGCTGAGGGTGTCCTGTCCACTTGTAGTCTGACTTGGAGTCAAGGTACTCAAAGGTGTTAATCCTGTGTCCATCCCCTGCGTGGTGTCCTGGAGAGTGGAGGTGAGGAGTGGGGTGATGGTCCCAGGGGAGGAAGGAGCAGGAGATGGTGAGACTGTGGGACTGGCAGGTGTGAGGGTCCCTGTGGAGCTCAGATGTGACACAGCTGGAGTTGGTGTGGAGGACAGGACTTCAGGGGATGAGCTTGATTGCAGGGTGCTGTGTGAGTGGGGCAGGGTCTCAGATGCAGTGGGGAGGGCACTGGTGGCTGAGGCCATGGCTGATGTGTCCCATGCACTGGTGCTGAGGGAGCCAGATTCAGTAATCCGTGTGTGGACAGTGGTGGTCCTTTCTGCAGAAACTGTCTCATAACTGTAGGAGGACACGTTGGTGATCTCTACTCCAGTGATTCTGTGAGCCGAGACTGTGGATGGAGTGAGGCTGGGAGGGAGCATTGGAGCAGAGGAGACAGAGTCTGCAGTGGAGAGCTCAGGGGAGGAGCTGGTGGCAGCATCAGAGAGGCCAGAAGTGGTGTCCAAGGCTGAGCTGGGCTGTGTGGGTGTGGTGCTGTGGGTCACTTCTAGGGTTGATGAGGAAGTTGTCTTGGTGAACATCTCTCTTGTCTGAGAGAATGTTGGTATTTGTGTGGAAACTCTGGTGACTGCAGTGGTGGTGGGCATTCTCTCCTCTGGAGTCTCAGGAAGTTCTGAGGAGCCAGATACAGTAAATATGGTTTTGGGGACAGAACTGGAATCTGTGGGTGTCTGAGGTGAGGCTGTGGATGGAGGGAGGCTGGAACTGAGCATTGGAATAAAGGAGAAGCCTGCACTGGAAGGCTCAGGGGAGGATCTGGTGGTGGCATCAGAGAGGCCTGCAGTGGTGTCCAGGGCTGAGCTGGGCTGCTCTGTTGTGCTGGTGTGGGTCAGTGT